TTAAATCCCCCATTAAATTGACAGAGCCTTATCTGTTCATTCAAACCCCTAAAACTCCCCAAACTGGAGAAATTATGGTTATTTTTAACACTAGTGGATAAAGACTGCAATACCAACCGACTAATTTTTGTCAACGCCACATCTTAAAATAATTTTTTATCATTGGTGCAAGAAATACTACCTATTTTAATTTACACAGTAAATAGAGGCTCTAAAACTGCCGTGCATGCAGAAATCTCCTCTTACAACTAGAGATACAACGGTACCTGCACCGAGACGGCACGGTTCATGGATTCCTATTGCTACAGGAAACAATTGAAACATTAGTGCTGACATAAAACCACGTCTGTGCAGTCGTTCTGAGGACAGGAAATCAATCACAGGAAATGAGCCTAAATCTATACCTCTCTGGGTTTTATCCCAGATTCTGTGTCCACAAACTGCACCGACTGAAGGGATTCCTTTTCAATGGATCGGAGCTGTGGTACAGTATCCACCAGGCCAAGACTGGGCCAGGCTGCATGTACTGTAAATTCTGTCAATACTGAGCCCACGGCAAAGCTTTTTAAGGAATTATATTGTATTATCCCCTTACTCAAGACACAGAGCATCGACTGACTCATCAGCAGCTACCCTGTCCATGCAGAGAGAAAACACATCCCAGACACGTAGAGGCTCATATAGCTATATATGTGGTCCAAATTTACTGTTAGTCTTTTTTGTTCAAGAATTCAGTAACATTTAAAAATAATCAAAAATGCCACCTTAAAAAAATATACCATAGATTTGATACCTTAAATTAAGGCTGTGCTCCAGCATCATCGTGTGGCATGGAGGCTGCACAGCTGCAGAAAAAAAAAAGCTTTGCAGAGAGTGGTGAAGGCTGCACAGAAGTCTCTTGGAGTCAGCCTCCCCACCATCACAGACATTTACACCTCTAGATGCAGGAAAAGGGCCACCTGCATCATGAAGGACCCCACTCACCCAGCACACACACTTTTTGCTCTGCTCCCCTCAGGAAGGAGGTTAAGGAGCATTAAGTGCAGAACCATTAGACTGATGAACAGCTTCTACCCTGATGCTATTAGACTCATGAATATCTAACCAGGATAATCACTGTGGAAAATCACATCATGTTGCTGCTGATCTGTTTTTTTCATTCATTCAACCTTTATTCAGACAAGTTAATCCCATTGAGCCTCGAGGACTCATTTACAAGAGAGACCTGATTTCAACAAAGAATGATGACAACAATGGACAACAGCAACAAAATGTTTCAAGTTGCTGTGTTCATGCGTGCTCATCTGCTCACACAGACTCATGCTCGTGCTGCTGTTCGACATAACATTTTTATGCTATTAGTGCTCAGTGTATTATTTAGCTAATGTTTTTATTAGTTCATATCTTGGATCTTATTACTGTTTTTCTTTTACATTTTATTGTTGGATGTAACTGGGATCCTGATTACACAATCTCGTTCCACCACATGTACCACATGAGATGCGAATGACAAATAAATCTGTTTGACTCTTTTTGACTTTAATAGTACGGTAGTTTATTTTACACTTAGATTAAAATATCGTCAGCATGGTGTGGTGTATAACTTGATTTGGATCTAGATAAATGTCAAAAAGTCAACATGATATTATTCTATTTCTCACTGTGGTCCATCTGCTCATAAATTAAAACCACTGATGCAGTGAGAAGAGTTTCTCCTACAGTCTGCCTTAACAATGCGAGCCAACAAAAAGACTGTATGTAAGTTAATTACCCAAAAAATATAACTATGAACAGTTCCATTTAAAGAAAAAATACTTTATTGGAACAGAAATGTAGGTATTTCCACAGGCATGAGATGAAAATGCAAACCTAATTTAAACTCTACATGCTCCATTACCAGGCTTGGATCTTTTCATGTCTTTTTGTGACTAAAAGTCACTTCAGCAAAATGGCAAAATAAATAAATAAAATAATAACAAAAAAGGAAATCCAAGCAGATATGGAAGCAGTAGTCTCAGCTTGCAAAGCAAAGTTGTCTCGTGATTTGATTATCAGGATTGCCATTCATGTGATGATCAAATTTTGAAAATTGTCTTTGATTGTCCTCTTTTTTAAATGTCCATCACCTGCCAAATAAAATTATAAGATGTGTAGGCAACCAGAGTCTGCCTTGACAGCGACCAGCCAGATACACTTATGTGGTGTCATCTTGCACAAACGGCCTTCCAGAGACAGAAATTCAATATTTTCCAACTGAATTTAAAAAAATGCTTGTTTACAAGTGGTAAAAAGTGCTGTCGGTGTAAATGTCAAATCAGAGAATGCATTTGTAGCAATTAAACGGGTATTCAGTTTTATTGCTCAGTTTAAAAAATATATTTAAAGACAAATTTATTTAAATTTTCCACGCTGTTTGTCTAGCAAGGAAGTAAGAAAAATATGAAGAAGGCTGCCATAAAAAGGTTGGTATTTAACTGTTGCTGCTGTTACTAAATTCCATATTTATCATGTCATGGGTCAGCTCAATGAAATCTGAAAAATGTTCATCCCTACATTGCTTTTCATGAAAAATCCTAAAACAAATCAAAAGATGGGTCTCAAAAATTGTAGAAAATTCTCACAGCTGATGTCATGTTTTGTGAACTATTTATAAAACAGTGGACATATGTAAAAAAAAAAAAAAGAAAAAAGAATATGTTTGTTAGTTTGAAACAGGAATTATTTTTCCGTTTTCATGTTCCTTTAAAAAACCCTTTCCTGCCTTTGTCATCTGCTTGTCTGCCAATTACTCTGAGCACATGAAGTAACGAGCAGCACTCCAACAAGCCAACAAATATAATTGCCTCTACCTTGGAAAAGCCACTGCTGTTATATTGTGCTCATTATGACTCAGGCCACAGTTTCCATGCAGGTTTTAAAAATCTACTGATGTCAGGAATGACTAAGTTGTAGAGGATTGTTCCACATCATTATTTATCATTACTTTCTATATAAAACTACTGTTTTTTTAATTGAGTGAGGGAAGGGAAAGTAGGAAGAGTGAACGTAATGATAACATTCAGAAAGCTTCGCACATTTTTGGTTTGCTTGGTGAGTCACCTGCAGTGTGCAAAGAAGAAACACTCAACCAGAAGCCAATCGTAATGGGAAAGGAGAGGAAAAAAATGAGCAAGGGGTGCAGAGTTGGGAGTCAAAAGTTAAGAGGAGAATTGAAACGAACGATGAAGGTAAAGAATAGAGAGAAGCTCAAAGAGACAAGAAAACAAAACATTTGACAAAGGTTGCTTAAAGAAAGGACAGGAATATTTTATTTAAGAAGTATTATTAAAAACGGATGTAGTGAAGATGTTTTGTATTTATATAAAGGTGTCTGAGTTTTTTGTTGTTTTTTTGGTAGGTTTTTGTGATTGAGGGTTAATTTCTCTTGTTTGTTCTTTGTTTACTTTCCCTGTTCCTCTGTGTCTTCATCACCGTCAGTATTTTTTCCACACAGTCAGTCTCTGCTCCAGTCTCACCCACACCTGTTCCCTATTATCATTAATCCACCTGTCTCCAGTTTCCTCATCAGTCCCAGTCCATATTGTCTCAGTCCTCACTTCTCTGTGGTCTGGCATTGTGCTTCCATGCTCTGTACAGTTCTCTGCCTTGTCTCCTGGAGTTTTGTTATTTTGTAGGTTTTAGCTGCCACGCCAGCTTTTTGTTTTGTGTAGTGATAAATAAATCTTTTAGTTTTTATCTCCTTTTGTTGGTTTGCATTCTGGGGTAAAATCTCCTTACAAACCATCACAAATTGTTGCAATCTGATATATGACTGTGATTAAACACATTGTTAGACATTTACTTTTGTTTTCAAAGTAGAAAAAAGTATAGTGTAAAATTATGGTTCTCGACCTTGACGCTGGATTTCTGATAAGGCAGTAATCGACATCATTATGACCACTGACGGGTGAAATGACCAACGCTGCTCATCTCGTCACAAAACCATCTGCTTCAAAACACACACACACCACATTAAAGTCCCTTTTGACATATACCATCCACCTAAATGAAACAACCACCCCTATCTAAAAAAAATAAATAAATAAAATGCAGGACAGCAAAGATCCCAGCAAAATCTGCACAAACATACAAAAGGTCGGTATCACTTTGCATTAAGGCTTCCTTTATAGATGGCTAATAAATGGTTTATAGATAAATTATTAATTCCTCTATAAACACTTTATAAATCATTAATAACTGCTTATTAAGCATTTATTACAGGTGACAAAAAGACAAAGTTCTTGTCAAATAGTGAGCCAAATCTGCCACCTAGATATTTCATCTAGAGTTATTATGTTAAACATTTCAGACTAAGTTACTAATTTGTAACCACAATAAGCATTTGTAAACCATTTTTTTGCATATAATATTGTACTTTATAACTGCATTATAAGTATCTACAACTAATATTATATCTTTAAACAAATAGGTTTACAAATGTTTATTGTACTTACAAGGTAGTAACTTAGTCTGAAATGTTTAATATAACGACTCTAGATGAAATATATAGGTGAACAGATTTAGCTCACTATTTGGCAACAAACTGGTCTGTTTTGTCTCTGTCACCTTTAATTAATGCATAATAAACAATTATTAATGATTTATAAAGTGTTTATAGAGGAATTAATAACGTATCTATAAACTATTTATTAGCATCTATAAGGGGAGCGTTATTGTAAAGTGGTACCAAAAGTTATTTACCTTACTTGCAAATCTTCTAGATGTCAAATGATGGGATCTGATGGTGTTTCTATGATTCACACTCAATCCACAGAGATCATGACCCAAAATTCACAGAACTTGAGAAAAACATTTTGCTAACACTTCTGGACACTTTTTGTCTATGGTTTACTTCCTAAATATTAAACATACGATCAATATAAGGGAAACATATTGATGCTCGATACTCTGCAGCATTAGCCTAAAATCGTTTTTATGAATTTATTTTGAGATGCAAAGACTTAAAAAAAAGTTCTTCTTGGATATGGTGTGATGCACAACTTATCATTTAGATAAAGATGTTGTTTCTTACTTTGCATACAGAGTCCATCGGTGCAGTTTTGAGACTGGAGCACCAGACCCTCGCAGTCCTTCCCACCATTTTTAGGAGCTGGGTTGTTGCACTCTCTTCTCCTCCACTGAGTGCACTCTGTCCCACAGGCCGACCACTTACTCCAGTCTGTCCACACACCGTCCACTGGAGGGAGAGGAAAAGGGGTGAGTCATAACTTAGAAAATTATGCAGTAAACAGACAGGAAATGTAAGATGAAATACGATGTATAGAACGGACTACAATAGAATAAAATAAGACTATTACCAGTGCACAATGTGGTACAGGGTAGCTTCTGGATGGCCTGTCCATCACAGGGTAGTCCTCCATTGAGAGGGGCGGGGTTAGTGCAGCTCCTGGTTCGTTTCTGAAAACCTCGTCCACAGCGACTGTTACACGGAGACCACTCTGTCCAAGTCGACCAGCCGCCGTTCACTGAGGAAACACACATTTCTCATTTCATTCTGAATATATCAGGCTTCAGCCTCAGCGTGTTCTTCAGGGAGGTGTTACAATGATGGAAATGACCATGCAAGATAAAAAAGCTGACAATTTATTTTACTCATACAATATTCTTATCTTTAAAATTAACAAACATCTGTTACTCAGTTTTGTTTTATTTAAACAGCCCCATCTGATGACATAATTTCATGGCACTGTACATAAAAAAAACAGATGCAATTAATTCCAGTTATAACATAAATCAAAACATTCCAACAGACCAATCAATCTATATATTTTACCATGACCAAAAACATGTTTGGTAAATTAAAATATGCCATTAAGACGTCTAAAATCTGATAGGTTGTGTCTTAAAAACAAATTATCTGCTTTGTTCTAAACATAATATTCCAATTTTCAAGCTCAAATAATTATATAATGTTAACACTAAAAAAACTGGTTAGACAAGAAATCCTTTTATATTTAATAACTACATCTGCAGCCATACACAATCATGACTAATGTAAATTTCAAAACAGATGATACAAACACATTTTGACATGTTTTGTGGAGGTAAATTCTACTTGCTCAAGTTTAATGAAAATGGATGGATTTTATTGAACCTGAACGCCACGCATACTCGCAAACTTCCTTGTAGCTTCACAATTACCCTGCAGCTTCTGTCACACATCTTTCCCCCTTCACCACTGTGTTTACACTCAATACAAGGATTTGTACAATCCACTAAACACAAGCTAGAACAAAAAAAGATTAACCTTCTGGCAAATTGCTTTCAGCTGAACTCTTGAACATAAAAGGTGAAAACATAACTGTTTTAAGGCACATAATGAATCAAACTTCTCTGACTCTTTGCTAATCAAAATTGGGATTTCATTTATTTTTTTTTCCTTTCATATCTGTCTATTTCTCTTTGCTTGTACCTCTGCAAGGTCATCCAGCATCTTGTTTGTTCAGACATAACTCTTCCTTCATTTAGTTTATTACTGTTTTGGTATTTCAAGTAAAAAGATTAAGTGCAGGAAACAGAGTGGGAGAAAAATTAGATATAATGTTAAAGTGAGTCAGATTGAGTGATGGAGCGTTCTTTCCAGAAAAGTATGGAGGGCTGAAGCAAGAAGGGGTTCTCTTCAGACTGAAAGTGGGTGTTTCTAAAGAATAGGCATTTATAAAGGGCAATCACTGACTAACTGTATTTGTTGGCTATTTAGGTAAGTTACTTCAGCTCTTTTTTAAAACTCAAGGTTTCTAAGAAACAGTGTTATATCTGCTGTCAAACAAAAGAAGATTCTCTTTTGTTCTTGGTTGTAGGCTGCACCTGACACAGGTTGGCTTGGGTGTGGTCTGGGTACAATGGAATATGAAGAATCTGAAGCGAAACCTGCTCTCATTTGTCAAAAAGTCTGGTCTCAATTAAAGATCATGAGTCCTGTAACGAGATAACGGCCCAAAACAAACGTTAAAAACAAAATTTGCTCTTTAGAAGTTCTTCTATGAGATCTGATCTATGAAAGGAGCTGAAACATGGAGTAGGATTGACCCTTAAAATCTGACAGCTGAGGAAGTTAACCAGTAAACAGAAATACCTGCTCCAGTTGCAGAAAGCTGACAGAACTGACAATCATCTGCAGTGACTGATCTAAAAGGTTGAGGAAAATGTGGAGTTAAAGGAAACATCCTTTGTCCCAAAGCCAGTTGAAGTATCATGATTATTTTGGTTACTTTATTTATGAATTGAATCGATTGTAACTATTTTCACATTATTCAACAACCAAAACGGATTTTGTTTTTTAATGAAAAGGCTAGGTATTAACAAACATGTAGCCCTCCCCACTACCCATTTATGTTGCTCTTATTTTGAAATGTAACCGGAAGTTCTGTTAAGAGAGGCGTAAAGAGAAGTTATGGAGACGCCACTAATGTCGAACCGGCTAACACAATCTGTCTGCTGTTATACTCAGGTTATACTTGCTTAATAAGTCTTCTGAGTCTCAATGTTTGCAACCCCCTGGTGGCTGTTATTACATTACTGTATACTGTACTGCATTTTATTGTACCGTTCTGTATTCTTTCAATAAAGATTTGAAAAAAAAAAAGTTTTCTGATATCTTCGTCCAGTCAGATGTGGCCCTTGAGATACGCCTTCCGTATTGGTCTGCACAGATACCTACTTGGTTGAAGCAGCATCTTGACAGCTTTGTCTCTGACACCCCCCCACCACCACCACCACCACCACCACACCCCCACCCCCAGATAGCACCCACTCCTTTTTCAAAGTTAAATTAGAAATTAAACTCCAGGGGGAGGAGAAACCCAGCAAATTAATGAAGGCACAGCCACTTCACGCTGACTTTTCCTCAGGATTTTCCATCAGTTTCTTGCACTCACTCTCCTCTTTTCCTACTCCTCACCTGTTTGCCCTCCACCTGTAGCTGCTTCACTCCCCCCACTCCCCCCCTTTCTGTTTTTCAACTAAGATTTCAGCTTGTAAACAGTGTCACCCAGGCCCGTGTGGAGCCGAGAAGATTGAACCCCAGATTGAACAATCTATTTCTGTAAGGATACATCAGTGTCAAACCACTCCATCTCTTGCTGTCTGTATCGAACAGGCTCACATGCTCAGTTATTATGATTGAAACACTCCTCCTGGTGAAATGAGTCCGTGAGAGAAACACTTGGTTCAGCATGTGTGTGATATGCTATGGATTTTTCACAATTTACCTATAGTCTTATGACGAAGTGGCAATTGGTAAAACAAAAAAGGAAAATAAAGCAGGTAGGGCATTCAGCTTTTCAGGTTTTAGCAAAATAGCACAGAGAAAACTGTGTGTAAAAAGAAATACAGTAGTACCTCGCTAGTTTGTGGTTCAGTTTTCACGGACTCGCTCTTTCGCGGTTTTTTCGCGGTTGACGAGCCATGGACTGTTTATTTATTTAAAATTAATTATTTTAAATGATTTAGCACCTGTGTGCAGCCCACAGGTGCAGGGGGAAGCTTCACCCGCTCTCTGCCACCCCCACATTTCTCCTCCTGCTGCAGCAGCTTCGTGAAGCATTAACTCTTTATTGTCCAGCTGCACCCATCGACTTTTGTCTTCCAACTTAAAATTCAAAGTATGTCACATCGTCAAATTGTCATAATCACAAAAGATAAAAGTGTTAAAAGTTATTTTTAATTATTTTAGAACTTTTATGTTCAGTTGTTACAGTGTAATTGATCAAGAAGTGCATTTCTGCTCCGTGCTGCTGCATGAAGGGTCAACTTCTCTTCTCTACAATTTAAATAGCGTTTAGAGTTTAGAAACATTGTTTAAAATATTGCAAGTGTGTGTGTGCAGGGTTTATAAAACCTTAATATATATAAATGCTAAATTCAAACTGCTATTTATAGTAGTTGGACTGTTAAACTACTACTAAATCACTACTAAACTACTACTTGTACTACTACTACTCTTGTAAATGAGTCCTCGTGGCTCACTGACATTGGCCTGAATAAATAAGGCTTGAAAGAATACTTACTACTACTACAGTAAATACTAAAATAAACTACTACTACTTGTGTATGTAATTTTGTTCCATTTCATGTACCACAGGAGATAGTAATGACGATAAAGTTTACTTACACTTGAACTTGGACTACTATGTATCCCTACTTCATGATTTTTCACTTATTGTGGGAGCGTGGTCTCTAAACCCCACGATAAACGATGCTAGAACTTAACAGAGAATTTCTGAACAATATTATATTAGTTATTTTCATTGTTGTTGTTTTTTCGCAGCTGGTACCATCCAATATGCTGCATAACTCACAGAACTGTGACTTCTCACACTCCGCTTTAAACACGTTTAAAAAGCCCTTGTGTTTTAATTTAAAACTAAATGTGTAATTGAAGGCTGTTGGGTATGGGTGATGGGGTTAATTAGGTAAGATTAAGGGTGAAGTACAACGAAAATGTAATACCAATAAAAAAAAAAATTAAAATCCTGCAGAAAGAGAGAAAAACAAACACGTCGGCATGGCAGCACAGCCAGTTTCATGTGATGGAGAATGGATACGTCTCAAACACTGACGTTAATTGCAGGTTCAGAAAAAAAATATAACAGTGCTCCACTAAAACTTTTCATGAAATGATGATCCAAATTATAATAATGACAAGAATAAACTCCATACACACTTACCATACACGATCACAGTGGCTGTGGTGCTTCGCCTTTTGGCCACAATGTTCTTAGCCACGCACGTGTAGTTGGCCGTGTCAGACAGACGCGCCTGTTTGATGATCAAGTTGTGATCAATAGTAATGTAAAAGTTTCTGTCCTCTGCAGGGTCTATAATCTCCTCATTCTTTAACCACTCCACCTGGGACACAGAGAAATGAAAGATTTACTGTAGGTGAGCGATGCTTTATTTGCAGAAAGAGAAAAGACCAGGAAAAAAATACTTTATGTGTTGTTGCCTTCAGGTATAATACAAATAAAAACAGGTTAATGTGTATAAATACTGCCGATTCAGGTAAATTATTATATCAAGTTTGAGCATTCAGAACTGATCCACACTGTTGGATGAGTGAGAAAATGTGACGCTCATCAACAATACACTTATGAGCAAAAAGTAAAATAATTAAAAGGTTAGGCATTGGGTTAATCTTAATTTTAGCATCTATAAATGTCCTCACTGTCTGAAGAAATGAGTATAGTGGAAACAATGGACTTTTTATTTTTTTTTAAAACAAAAATCTGAGGTGCAAAATGCCCAAAACATATGCTTTCACAAGGTTCTTTGGGTGAAGGGTAGAACAGCAGTAAAATGTTCTATTTATGGGCCTAATCACATTTCCTGAGAGCTGTATTTGTCGGTCCAAACTCATAAATCCAACCTATCAAAGCTTTATGGCAGGGACATAAATGTCCAAGCTGTGTTTAAATTCAGGCCGGTTAATTTCCTCCTCCCTCAACATTAGGAAATGGAAATTTCAGATGCAGAAAAGAGGAAATTTAACATTATTCTTCACTTTACTGCCTGCTCCGGCCTGGCAGTCATTCTTTCCCCTCAGTTATTCCACCTGCTTCTTTCTCTGATCTTTAAAGGTCTGGCAGTGCTCTTTGGATATGGAGCTCAGTGTCGGTCAGAATTTTCATTCTGAAGTGAGCTGCTGCGTGACCTTTCAGTTTCCATTAGGCTAAGCTTTTACAAGGAGAAAAATAAATAAAAGAAACATTCAAAAACAGTGCAAATGCTTAGTGTACAAAAACGTGCAAGCACTGTTTCACAAGTTAAAGCAAAAGCTCTGCATAGAAAGTGTGAATTTGTTAGGTTTTTAGTTAAACAAGAAGTGATGTCAATACAGGGGACAGAGATAAGGTCCTTGCTGTAATAGTGTGTTAACACTGATCTCAGCTGATGGTGATTAGACTACAGCAGGGGTATTCAACTGGCGGCCCACAAGCCATTTCCGGCCCATTGGTGACTTCAATCAGGCCCACCAATGACTTCATTAAAAAATAAAATAAACAATTGAGGTTCTGGATTTGGGTTTGTGCTCTATTTAGTGTTAGGGTTAGGGTTACATGTGGTACGAACGACAACTCTGGCATTTATGATTGACACATTAAACCCCCACTTAAAAAAACCAAACATAAAACATAAAATGTACAATACATACAATGGTAAACCCATTTTTAAAACACCTTTGGCCATGTTATTCTGTCTAAGAAAAAATGCAACGAAAGATTTTTGAAAACTATGAAAGGAAAAGTTAAATAATTTGCAGAGCTTATACATTGTCTTTATCTTCACAATAAACCATCATTTGAACTGTAATATAATATTAAAACTTAAAAGAGTAACTTTTCAAGGGAAGTTTCCCATATTTTTTTGTCTTTTGTTTTCCCTGTGGCTTGATTTTTAAAACAAAGTTTTAGACGCTGACTTCAGGAATCAAGCTGTGAAAATGACACAGCCTACATGTGAAATTACCAGTGTTACCCATTAGAACCAGTAGGTAAACTCATGAGAAGCTTTAGGCCTTGATGGGTTATTGCTGGCTGTGAGCTCTTGTGTGAAGATCCAGTGAAAATAGCTGCAGTCGTTGACGACTTGAAGGTTGTAGCCCGTCAGACTGATGTGTGCTCTGGTGGCTTCAGACAAAGGGACCACATGTGGTGGCAATCCTACCATTGCTACTGCATCATTAGCCACAGCTGGTGGAAGTGTGGGTGTGTGTGTGTTTGTGTGTGTGTGTGTAAACGGCAAAGTGTGGCAGACTGGATCAAGTCAACCTCATGGGAAAGTGCACATTTGTTATTTTAACTCTTGCCCCCTCATCACCTGCCACTCTTGCTCTAGGCACACGCCACAAAACACGAACAAAAAAGTGCAAGGACACACACCCAGAGTCAAAGAAAAAGCTAAAGAAATCAACAAAAACACCATTAAAATCCAGGTCTATTGTTGTGGTGTTAAAATGAAATATCATTATACATGCTGGTGAGGAGATGCTACCGTTGCTTGAAGTCTTATCACACAAACACACACAAACTATACAAAGTAGGACACCATTCGACACACTTCTTATGAACAAACAGTGGAAGCAGCCATGCTCTCCGTTTCAACTGTAATGGGATTTATATTAATAAAAAAGACAAGGTTCAACAAAAGTCTCTTTTTCTTTAAAAAAAATCCTAATGGTTTCTTTTAAGAAAGTGCAAAGGCTTTTCCTAATCAATAACAAACTCACTTCATACTTTCTCTCTACTTGACCCAGTGACTAACAATATCTTGGCTAGTATTTTGTTCTGGGCGGCTGTGGCTGAGTGGTTAGAGCAGTCGTCCTCCAATGCGAAAGTTGGGGGTTCAATTCCACCAGCAGTCACAGGCCTAAGTGTCCCTGGGTAAGACACTGAACCCCTCATTGCCTCCAATGTGTCCTTTCAGTGTATGAGTATGATAAAGCACTGATTATTCTTTGTAGAGATCCAGTAGAGTGCTGTCTGAGTGGGTAAATGAGGGCGCAGATTATAGTGTAAAGCACTTTTAGTATCTCAATAAGACAGAAAGGTGCAATATAAGTACAGTCCATTTACCATTCTTTTTTTTTCCTCAAACCTGGACTGCATTAACACTGAATATATGATGTTTTTACATATTGATAAATATAAACATGTAAAGTTGCTTTCTGGACTAATCAAGGCACTGGGAAGGTTTAATGTTTTTCACATTTTCTGAGAATATGCTCCGTTGCTTGGGAGAGGAATTAAACCTTAGCCGAGTTCTGTGCAAGATAGAAGTAGACACAAACACAATGAAATACATGTAGACAAGCTTTTCGTTCGAGCGCTAGAAAATGTTTTGAACAGCAACGTTTAGTGACATACCTGCTCAGAGAAAGAGCAGCGCAGTCACAGCGTCGCTCAGAAAAATGCTGAATAAATGTGGCAAAAGCCAGAACAAGACAAAAGACTACAAAGCAAGGAGGAAGATAAACAAGCGAGAACTATCTATGAAAAAAATGCTAATACGTGTCATGCTTTGCAGAGCCACAACAAAGAGCTGATAACAACGCAGATACGAGGTAGAATCCAGATATTAATATTACAGTGGCAGCAGCCACACAATCAGAGTGTGACAAAGCACAAAATAGACTAATTACAATCAAATGTGATTTTGTAATTACATCATGGTAATCAAATCGTTAGTATGGGCATGCATGAGGGCCTGTGTTTGTGTGTGTGTGGGGGAGGTAACTGGTGTTAATATTCATGTTCGTCACTGAGGATTATCTCCTTGATTAGCTATATTATGTGGATCTGTATAAGTCCACAGATGAGTGGGTTAAAGAGCTCTCGTGGTGATTAATCTACCTATTTGTGGGTGTTTCCATGTTTATTAATCCTAACCACCCCACCTTCTGCTCCAACAAGCTCTGTCCACTCGTTTCATTGCAAACAGAAAGATTTTTGAACATCTGAAGTAAAAATAAAAGATGCTTAAAAAAAAAGTTTGACACTAAAAGTTGAAAGCAACCACGAGCATTTAAAAAAATATTAAACATTTCCAATAAAGGATATATATTTATTCTTTAATTCATAAACAACTATGTATTTGATTCAATTTGAAAATAGGTTTAGGATTGATAGAGTTGCCAAAGAGTAAATTATTTAGGCTAAAATGGAGGATTTTTAAAATAATTTTTAAGGTGATACCAATTAAAAATATAATATCTGCTGGAACCGTCTAAAAAAAACAGCTAACCATGTGAAACATGTTGACAAAAACTATTGCTTGCTAAACTATGTCAAACAATTTCAGAAGGTGGTAACAATTTTGTGTCACTTTTTAAAAATCATAAAACAATACTTTCTGGTTTGCTTTCTGACCTCTTTAAGTGGTGTGCCAGGAAATATTTCTAATAGTACTAAAGAGAAGTTTTAGTATTTTAAACCAAACAAGCACACATACATTTAGGTTTTAGGTTTTCTTTTTTAGTCTTTGCAGAAAAAATGATTTTAGATATGTGATATCCAGTTGATGACCTTTTATGATTCATTAAAACTGAACCTAAAAATACAGATATGACTAATTTCTTCGTTACAACTAATTAAAACAATTAAGAAATCATATCAGTCCAAGTAGGTGTCCAATACTAAAGCCTGATCTATTCTGAGGCAGCTAAATAAAGATGGTAGAGTATATTTGAAAAGGCTCCATCAGTTTACAAGTACAACATCAATGATGGTTTAGTGTAAGCAACCAGGTCAGAGTTATGTGCACATCTCTGAAGTTTGCTTACCTGTTTTTTTTTATTAAGAACCTGCAGATTTTGTATCATTTCTCATTTTTTCTCCTCACAAGGATTTCATCAACCAGTAAACTTTTGATGCGCAGCTCTGCATAATGCTTTCGAGCTGTCTCCCTTCACTGCATTGGTTCTCAGATACCATGTCCCCCTTTAGAGAAGCATACGCGTGTCCAGTTGTCACTGTCTGATCCAAATGAACTTCCTGACAGTTCATTCAGATTGAAACGCATACAAACACTTCATAACCAGATGTTGCACACTCATTATTATTGCTTGTGATTTGTATCCATAGATGCATTGGCAGTTGTCGTGATTGTTTCCATCATCCAACACTGACCTTTGCCTGAATGCTCACCTGCACTAAAACAACCACACACACACAAACCCATATGCACACACACAGACACAAAAATGTAAAATCCCCAAACAGTACATCCAATGAGCAAGAGATATGCTAATTGCATGTACTGAGACCCCCCCAACCCTCCCCCCTCCGCTGCCAAAGCAAGTAATGTAGGGGAAAGACTGGACAGTAATTAAGCAACAGTAGAAACTGAGAGCA